ATTCATTCGCAGGGTGACCTGTGTCACCACATATGAACACTTGAGAGGATTTGAGGGATTTCCTCCCCCACTTGGTTTCTTCCCAGCAACATCTTTTTGCTTTCTTTTATCAGCCGGAGCACGGTAAGGTGTATTCTCGTGTCTCCGCTTGCCTCTTATGTCACTTAGGTTCTTATAGTGAGCGATTATAGCTCTGTTGTCTTCATCATAGAATCTACACTTGTTCACCAGCTCAGGAAAGTACCTTATCTTCTGATAACCGACACCCAGTTTGATCTCAGGATGCAGCCTGTTCTCAAACTTAATGCACTTCAAACTCATAGTTGCATCAGTATTGTAATGAGGACAATACTATACCAGTTCTTTGAAGTTAACCACATACTCTGCCATTGTCATATTCCCTTGTTTCAACTCAATAAATTCAATCCCTTTCTTTCTGCGAACATCTTCCAGAAAATACTGTTCCAGAAACTCTGCCCTGAACACTGTCCAATTAATGGGACCCTCACCAGCTTCCAATCTCCGACGGGTGTTGTCCCACCAGTCCTCAGCCTCCCTTTCCAGCATATGGGTACCAAACTGTACCTTCTGATCCTCAGAGCATCCCATGACTCTGAAGATCTTCTCAATATCCTTTAGTCATTTATGTGCTACGTCTGGATCATGTCCGCCTTTGAACTTAGGTGGCTTGTTATTCTGGAACTTCTCCAAATTACAGAACTCTCCGTTTCCAGCACTCTGATTGATATTCTGACCGATGTTCTCCACTGCCTGCGCAACAGCTAGTAACGCAGCAGCCATTGCAACATCATTTCTACCAGCCATACTGCTCAACATCCATGAACACAGGTTAGAAAAACACATGACTATAAATATCCTATAGTCAGATTCTACTACAACTCTGGCCAGACGGACCGACCTGCTCTGATACCAATTGTAACACCCCACTCTACTCCGTACGCGTATTATAAAACATATACGAAAATATTTCATAAAAGTACATCAAAGTTCTCAACCAAGTAGGATGTCACACTAAGTCACTTCAGTTTTCATAATTAAACCCATGATGTCTAGCTTTCAATTAAACAGCGGAATAAATTCAATTTTTTAAAACATAATCTCCACCACAAGGTGATCATACATCCTTAATCCAACGAATAAAAGATACGTAACCATAAATCAAGAAAATAAGCAAAATATAATGTGATCCCGTCATCCCATGTTACGTATCAGAGTGACTCCTAGGACTCGATCAAATAGCAACACACTCCAAGCACTACTCAGGTACCTGGTCATCTGCACTCCCCAAGGAGCACATACGCAACAAACAGAAAAGGGGTGAGAACTACATTCAATAAATAAGCGGTGAAATACACATGCTAAGGAGTAGTTATACACCACACATATAATCATACACATACAACGCACATACACGTGCCACCTCAATCACTCGGCATCAATAGCCCATATCAAATACAAATATGCAATGTGATTCACTGACTCAACACAATGCATATGGTACCAACATAAATACATACGGTTCACCCTAGAACCCGATTCCCGTCGGAATCCGGATAAGTCGTATACGTTCCTCTAAACTAAAACTTATCTCCACAACGACTTCCACGCAAAGTCCGGATGAAACTAGGCACCCATCATGGATTCCCACCTAGACATCTCCACAAGACACATGACATGGAATGCATGACCACACAATTATGCAATATAATAATTCAAGCATAATTCACGATCATTAAAGATCCACACGAGCCATCCGCTCACCGTAATCCTCTCGGGAATTACCACAATCGCACAAGATTATCCACATTCGATAATCATGGCTCACATTCATCATAACACACCCATAAAGGCACACCCATAACGTTCCACGTTCTCTCAATTTAATTCATTACTAATATTTCTTAAGTTCATTTTAGTCATACTAATACTACCAGTTAAACGGAATTGCGTTCCAAGCGAATCTGGACAGAAATCACAAAAATTGGGGAAACGTCACCCCAGGCTGCCCATACGCGTACCAACCAGGTCCATACGCGTATTGCTTGTTGTCATACGCGTATCAGCCCTACCATACGCGTACGACCAGAGGCTTATACTTCCCAAAAAAAAACCCTCAGAGTCACCCCTTACGCGTATGGCTACTCCCATACGCGTATTGCCAAGCCCCATACGTGTATCACCATATGGTCGTGTTGGCACTAGGGACAAGGCACGTATGCTACGCGTACCGCCCTTGGGAATTCCCCCATACGCGTATCACCAGATGGTCGTGCTGGCACTGGGGACAAGGCAAGTATGCTACGCGTACCTCCCCTAGGAAGTCCCCCATACGCGTATTGACACCCCCAATACGTGTATGACTAACAGATCTTCCAAAAAACTCAGATCTCAACATTTCCATGAGTTTCTACCCAAGATTCATCATTCTATCTTCCCATTCATCCTAAAACTCAGATTTTAATCGATTTCAATGAATCTTATCTTCTATTCTTTCAAGATTCTACTTATTAGATCTAATCTCCATTACCGTTAAACCCTTAATTCTTAGATCTAACATCTGTCATAATTTCACCACAGTGTTCATAATTTTTCACACGAATTTTAGATTAGTTCTAGATTCGTTCACCCAACACCAGATCAGAATATTCAACAACGACAACAATTACAAGGAAAATCATATTGTTACGAAAATCAGACCAATAAGTAAGAACAAACAGAATTCCTACGAGAGAAAGGACCTCTCACTACCCTCTCAAGTTAATTCACCCATATTGAAATTCGTTCTCCCCTCTTATCTTGGATTGAAGCTTTTTCCTTGACAACAATGGAGAATTGGTTCTTTTTGCCCTAGCTCTCTTTTCTCTGCCTTTTTCATCTTTCACGTGTTAACTGACTAATTCTTCCACTAACCCTCTCTTAACCCCTTAATCAGGTTTTAATTCATTTATTTAATTACTAATAATAATAATATTATTAAAAATAACAATAATAATAACCATAATCCTATTAATATTATTATTAATGATAATTGAAATAATAATATTAATAATCATAATGCTCTTAATCTTGTTATTAAATTATCCATTATTCTAGGTCAACATTACCCCCCCCCCCCAACTAAGGTCAACTCTCACTCTCGCCCCTAATCTCATACCCTTAATTAAGGACATCACACCAATACACGTCACAAAAAATACAAAAGCGACTAAATAGTTTAAATAGGGTGTTACATCTTCTCTCTTAAATTTGCGGAGAAGAGTCTGATATTTCCCGCTTCTTTCGCATAACAAAGTAACAAAAGTGTTTCTTCTTTCCGAACCATTATGTGATCTTCCTATAACCACATCAAAACCAAGTCTTGTTGCAGTCCTACGAATCCATGTGAGCATGCTTTCACAATCATCAAACTCTTGTTTGTTATTAAAGTCAACGTCGGCATCTACCGATTTTACGACAACCCCTTGAACATTCAGAGAAGCATCGTTTGAAGGAACTAATTCTTTTGAGATATTATCAGGGTGCATCATATCTATTTGTAAACAATAAGGAAAATAAGTAAAAATTACAAAGTTGCTATGAAAAAACATACTGATAAGTTCTAGAGATGTACATCCGAAAATGTCCATCTTCAACACGTTCCGGAGATACAACTCCGAAAGCAACGTCATTTTTTTTCAAAAGTTTAATGATTAATGTGAGCAATGTAGGGGACAGTGAAATCTTTACCTGAAATTTGATCTTCTCTTGCTCCATGTGATTTATTGCACAAAAAAGTTGGAGTTTTTGAGTGAAAATGATATTGATAGTATAAGGTTTTTAGGTTGGTGAAGTGAGTATGGGAGAAGAAAAGACAACAATGGAGATTGATCATTCAGGTTTAAAATACAGCAGAAACTTCTGGAGCTATATCTACAAAATATTCTGGCGCTCAGACATTCCAGAGGTATATTTCCAAAAGTTTCTCTAAACTAAATTATTTTGAAGGTACCTCAGCGTAAACTAGTGAAAAATGATTCTGTATATATAGCTCTGAAAACAACCAAATTTAAACAACAAATAAATCATCTCCGAAAACATAAGACATAAAAGAAATTTTACTAAATACCTAAAAAAAAAAAAAAAAAACAAAGAGTGAAATAAGAAATTTTCTAGAGTCTGTATGGCGAAGCTTAATCCATACAAAGTGAATATGACTTTTTAATACCCCTATGAACTCAACCATGCAAATTAAACTCAACGTGAATAACATGACATTTTAATACCTATGTTTAAGTTTTCTTTTTAATAGTTTTTTTTATAATATTACACATTTTTGTTTAAAAACATTTAGTAAAAAACTCTTTTAAAAAACTTCAAATAAAAAACTTGTTTAAATAATTATTTTTAAAATATTACTTTAGGATTTTTATCCTTTTTCTATAATCTTTTAACATTAAAATTATAAAAAAATCACATAAATTTAAAACTATTTCAAATAGTTTTTATAAAAATCATTTTTAGATTTTTTTTAAAAAAAATTATAATTTTGATTATATTTTAATATTTATGTTATATGATGTCAAAATTAATTTTCAATTCATAATCAACAATTTTTTTTTAAAGTAATATTTAGAAAAACATTTTTATAAAAATTACTTTCTAAAAATACAAATATATATATGATTGTGCAAGAATGTATAAACCCTCTGTCTTTTCAAAACAGTGATAACACATCCTACTTCCTCTTGATTTGTTGGAACCTTAAAAGGGTAACAATGACTATTTAAGGGATGAATAAACCCTCTTGATTTGATAGAAGAGATCAACCTATTTAAGGGGCCAGCTCCTAACTTCTAGTTTTCGGTTATCACTAATCAAAAGGGTAACGATGACTAGTGCAAAAGGAGCAATAGCTGAATTTTTCTGCCCCTACAATTGGAAACCGCTGATGTCATTAGATGCTGCAATATATGATGTGAATCTTTTGCAAAAAACCATTCTCAAAAATCATATTTTGTTCTTCCACTTCCCAAAATGAGGCATAACATATCAGCAATGTCAGGAGTTGCTGAATAAAAATTCCATGATTCAAGCATTAGACGTTTTCTTGATCCTTTAAAATGAACAACCTGCATCCCAGAAATAAACCAGGAGTAAAATAATGTATTACAAGTTAAAAGAATAATATATCACAAGTTAAAAGAATAATATATCATAAACAAAAAATTCAGAACCAAAACTCTGAAAATATAACTTCAAGCATTCAGCTAGTGAGCATTATACCTTAACATTCAAAGGCATGCCATGAAATTGACCAGCACCCTCAGGTGGAGTCCAGTTGTATATGGCACATGGTAAGAACAATATTGAAGTACCACCAATGTCATCAGAGAATGCGACTGTTTTGCCAAACCTGCTGGCATCAAAATGAGGTTTTGACTTCACAACCCAAGCAAGAGCTAACTGATCACCCAGCATGCGGGAAGCATTTATGTACTTTGAGACATAAATTTTCAAAACCTCTTGTAGGAAAAGCTTTGCCCTGTGTTGATTCTCAAATTGGATTTAACAATTAGATACCAGAAAATGGAGAAATAAATCAGGAATTGAACATTAAATAAATCAGGGTTTAACAATTAAGATATAATGAAGTCAACCTGTATATTTTAGACTTTAGGAGAAGCGAACAAGGAAAAATGCTTTCAAAAATTAAAATGGCTTGTGGATAGTATATATTATAGTATAAACTTTTTGCACTGTAAATGGATCATAACTAAATAATAAAAGAACATTTTTTTATTCTCCTTAGAAACCTAAAACGAACATGACAATTGTCATGCAATTAGTTGCGGTTGTGGGTCATGTATGTGATCCACAAAAAGGGTAAATTCAAGCCAAATGATTGAAACTTTGTTAAACAGTGAAAACAGCATAAATACTAACCAATTACACAATCGGTCTTTAATTTTAATTTTTTGTAAGAGTATCATGTAACTGCAATTGTTAGAATCAAAACCTAATATTTATTATTAGGAAGAATTAGCAAATCATATCCAATTAGTGTTTATTGTGTTTATTCTTTAAGATACTATAAATATATAGAAGTGGGTGAGTATAGTCTGTTTTAGAAACAAATTCAACAGCAATTAAACAAAAACTACAGATAGTATAGTGCAGTTCATTTACCTTAAAATTCCATCAGAAGTACCCCTTACTGCAATGAATCCTGAATTCAAAGGCTGACCCTTGTTGTTCCTGAAGGTCAGAGCCATGTGAAAATTAGGATGGTCATGGAAAATCTGCCCTAAATCATCAACCACTGCTATATCAGAATCAGTGAAGATGTAATGAGTGATATCCCTCGGATTCTGAGAAAGCTTGTGAAGTCTTGTTTCTAAAAAGGTCTGTAACAAGGCAAACAAAAGGTTATTTATATAAATTAACATCCTTATCATCTTCACAGATAATGATAAAACAAGACTACTAGAACTGAGATTGAGAGTGACATAACGCCAAAGAGAAAGAATGATAAAGATAGAAAGCACCTATGATCTATTTCCGTGCACGTGATTTGAGGAAAAGACTGCCGTAGTATTGATGTTGCATTTAATAGACAGACAAAATGAAATGGGAAAAGCAAGCAGCTATTTTTAACCAAAAAAGATCTATATATACTGTGGATACAATGTGATCTTACAATGTAAGACCTGATCCTTTGAAGCATCAACTTGTCTCTTGAATATTCACCTTGTATGGGATACAGAGAGACCCTATTTCTGTGCACTGAAAGGTCAGAAACTGGATCTGTGAGAATAATCACGTCGCTCTGGGGCATTACTACCTGCATATGTTACACCAAATGTTAAATGATGTTTGTTTGGCATAACTGTCAGAATGAGCTAAAGGCTGAATGACAATATGAATTACCCAATATTTGGACCGTATACACAAGGTTACGAGATTTATAAAACCTAATTCAATAAAGAGTTATAAAATGCGAGTTGAAGAAGTACTTGGTCAAACATTAGCCACTATTGGGTCATATCATATTCGTGTGGTATATATAAAATATATACAGAAAAATCTCAACTATCCATTCATTTAGCTCAAACTTAGTTATTATATATATAAAAGACATTTAACCAAACTATACTCGAGAATTAAGTAACATTAGAAACAATAACCAAAGGAAATAAGGTCTTTGCAATTTGACAGACCCATAAAACATATTTACCAGTTACCTGAATGAAGTTAATGAAGACATTCAACACAGCCATTGACCTGTCCATCTTATTATACGAAGTGTTGCCAACAACTGTTTTTGATGATTCATCGTCTATTCTATCGAGAGAAAAATTATAAATAGTAAAGACAGTTACAAATGTAATACTTCCATCTACACCCAATCTGTCATTTGAAGAATGGGTCCTGTTGAGAGCTTTAGATCCTGTGAATTGCAGAGATGTAAAATTCATTACAAAGAATAAATAGAAAGCAAAATAATACGGACACAGGATAATAAGGAGTAAAATGTAAAACCTATAAAATGAAAGTTATGAAACATTTACAATCACTTACATATGTAACTTATAGAACAACTACAATTAGGAATAACAATTGGATGTAAATATGTAATAAGTAATAAGAATTACAAGTTTTTCTAGATTATGAAACTTATACAAGTAAAAATTCCTTACTTACACAATCACTATAAGAATAAACATACATAAAACAAATAAAGGAAATTAAGAACATGCCGAGATATAAATGTCTTCAGAATAAGATTTATGAGAAACCAAGGTGATCCACAAACTTGCTTTAAAGTATTATGCCATTTGGTTCAAATTACTAGTCCTATGATAAATATACAAAAAAATATAAATAAAACAAAAAAAATTCACACAATAATAACACCCAATTCATGACATGTCGCATTGAAAAGAGTGGTTTTGTAAAATTTACAATTTCTGTTAATGCAGGTTCATGAGAAAATTGATATTGAACTATAAAAGGAAAATAACCAGACCAGATAAAATACTTTCATACAATCTTCAATAATGAGAATTGAGAAGCCAAAGAAACACAGAAAATCAATGAGACTGAGAATCAATTTTAAAAATAAAAACTGCACCAATAATAACTCATTCCCAATTTTATGATTTTGTGATTAAACTGCCTGGCGCCTATAAATGACTCCCAAATTCCCAATGGAGTGCAAACCTTCTTAGGCAATGCCATGTCAGGAGCCTTAACAACAACAAACACGGTAATATATGAGAAGCAACAGCACTTCAAAGCACAAATTGATATTAACTCCTCAATTACATTAATAAAATAAGAGAACAAAATAAACGTTTAGCACCTTAAATTACATTTAAGATGGTATCAAATATGGGGCATTTGAGAAAAACTAATACCAATTAAACATTTGCGAATGCTATATTATTAAAATCCCAAAGACAAATTTCACAATGCTATTACTCATAGTGCAAGGTGGGTTGTCAGTAGTAGCACCATAAGATACAACAGAAGATTTTAAGACAACTTATCAGGAATCACATCATTCTGAGCAAAATATTCAAGAAATAGACCATGATTTAAATAACTAATTCATATAGAGACAAAAGGAACCTTGGCATTGCAAACGGTTTGACAAGCCTTGGCCAGCAGCAGGACCAAGAACCAGATGATCAAATTTCTTGTTTAGTTGTTTACGGGGTTCTGCCATTTTTGAATTGTTCAGCTCTCTGCCTGATGAGAATACAACCAAGTTCACTTATAAAGATCAATTATACATGACACAGAATGATTTGTAAACGAAAAAATTGAAAGGGATTACCTACCAGAAAACAGATGAGTAAGGAATAAAATTAATAGAACACCAAAAGCAAAACGACGCCAACCACTGAACATTTTCATGCTTCATAAATGCTCAGTTGATGTCCAATACCATGTAAAAGAAGTGGAAGAAACTAATGCCCGCCACCAAAGGCACTGTAGCTGCACAAAAATAAAAAATGAACTTAGGATGATGCTTTTAATGCTAAAATTACAAATAGATGACAGAGAAATTTTGATAAAATATGGTAAATTTTTCCATTCCCAATTCTTCGGGTTAGGCCCCCCAAAAAAAATAAATATTTTACGTTTGAAAAAATTGGGAGAATTGTGTGAATTTAAGGCATATTATATCTAAAAGTGAATAATTGTAATTTAGCTTAACCAAAATATGCTGGTCCAGGTCAGCCTATCGCCGGCCTTCAGTGGACAGGAACAGGCTGGCAATAATCTATCGTCAAACTTAGGCGCCAAAAGATGCTGTGTTGGAATTATTTTCAGTATTGGGAGTTGTATAGCAATTATACTCAGATTGTTGTATATAGATAGCCATGAACCTATGGTATATCATACATGCACTGTACGAAGTAACAATATTGTTGATCTCTTGTAAATGTAAATTATGTTTGTCTTAATTTATATATTTATTGCTAAGAGAGTATAAATAGAAAAGACCCGCTGAGAAAGTTATTTCTAAGGAGTTCATCAATAGAGTTGTTAGCTCTAGTGATCAACTAATAGAGATCTTCACAAAATCTCTATGAAGGCAAAGAGTTCAGTTTATTTGGTCCAAGCTTAGAGCATTTCACTTGTATGCTCCAGCTTGAGGGGGGAGTGCATTAACATAGTTAAACATGTACCTAGAGAAGACCATGCATGCACATGGGAAGTAGCAATGTTATAATCTCAATGTAAATTACATTTATTTATTTATTGCTAAACTTAGAATTCAACCGAGCTGTGAAAAGGACGGACTTGACTGGTGTTGAAATGTACTTGATTTAATTTATATTTCTGATATCTTTGCCTGTTTTCCTAATTTTATGACATTTGAGATTATAAACCATGTAATAGACATTCAACCATGATTGAATCTGAGATAGAGAGAAAAGCGTAGATGGAACATGTATGCTGAAACCATATGTTATGATCTGAATAATAAAGAGATTAAAAGGTGTTTATATTAACAGTTAGTATCTTACAGTCATTAACAGACTGGAAAACTTCTAGATATTAGTTACATTAATTATAACAGATATCAGAAAAAGATAAACAGTATCTAAGTATAACTATCATTCCACAAGCAATTCAAGTATATTTTTTCCCTTTTTAGATTAGATGCATTGGATGCAAGTTTGGCCAAGTAATAGGTGGGTTGAAGAAGATAGATAGAGAACGGTCCTTCTTTGTATGACTACATAACCAAACAGGAGGAGCTAACAATAAAATACTTCAGTATGCAATGGGCGAAGGGTAGCAAGTAAGCCCCTATGTACACGGTAATGTTAAAAGTGGGCAAAACCGGTAATTTGTCCGTGGCAAAAATCAAAGACAGGGCTGTTAATCACAGCCATAGTTTGTCCACAATCAACCACGTAGCCAGTAGCCACAATTAATACAACACTGAAAATTATACACAAATAGTTGTTTAGGCATAGCATACATCCATCCGCTGTAATTTACGGTGACTGATAACCTCGTTAGCATCAGTACCAACAACTATTAAGATTTTATATTGTAGTCAGTAACCACAACTGCATTTGTCTAAAATTTAAAACTTTGGCAACTAGCACAAATTTCAAACACACTGCATAATAAATATGGTAATTCATGAAAATTAGGTTTATAAATAGCTCTTGAACTTGCAGCCAATATTTTCCAAAGGAAACATCTTACTAATCAGTGTCAGTCGCGAAAATAAGTAACATGGAAATTTTGTTTCATTACTATGTTAGGTAGTGTGAAGTAGAATCTACTTCAGGTTCAGAAGCCAGGCAGGCTTCAATTTCATCATCATCCTCCAAATCCACTTGTTTATGGAGCTTTTACACCTTTGTCATGAGGTGAATGCACCAATATCTCATACCCTTCAGTGAATGTTTCTCAACCAGAAGCTCATAGCCATAGCAAGTATATACTTCAGGTTCAGTAGCCAAGCTTCAATTTCATCATCATCCTCAAGTCAACCTGTATACGGTGCTTCTATGTCTTCGTCATGAGGTGAATGTACCAATATCTCATACCCATCACTGGATGTTTCTTAACCAGAAACTCATTTCTGTAAGCCTCCCTAAGGACAACAGTCTGAGTCCTAATCTTATTACAGATGTAAAATATACCAGGATGATGAACCAAAGCCTTCTTAAATCTCAAGCCCAACCCCAAACACTCTCCATAATAAATCAAATTCTGTCTTTCTGTCTTCTTGGACACTAAAAGAGAAAGCAACTCATGCAAAATTGCTACTGTCCACTTCTCTGCCTGGTCACTATACGAGTCAAGATGAAATGCATTTTCATATGGAGAAATGTAAGGCAATGTTTGCCAACCCTCAACCCAAGTTTTCACCCTTTTCTCTAAAGCAAAACTTGTGGGCAAAAACATGGGAAATGCAATATCATGTCTTCTTTTATCTGCACCATAGTTCAAGCTCATTACCCTCTTCTCTAACTCAGACACGGCAAGATCTTTTCTCCAAGAAACAAGTTCTAAAGCAAGCACTTCTTCCCCAGACGACGGATCTTTTACCACACAAACATCAAAATAATCAGGATAATAAGCCAAAAGAGTTGTAACATAATCATGAGGAAGACCCATATCCCATTTTAGCTTCTCAATTACATAAATCGGCAACCTCGCCATGCCAGCGAGCATCAGAAGCCTTGCCAGCCTCCGTACAGTCTCTTCACGGTTAGTGGGAGAATTATGTACTTCCATCTCTTCTTTATGGAGGGATAAAGCTTGAGTAGTGAGCTTAATGCGTGGAGGGAGACCAGGACTCGGTTGGAATTGACAGAAAACATGACGATATTTCTCAACAAATTTGATAGTCGTCGTAGGAAGTTCAAGTGAAGATTTCAACATAGAGGCATTGTAGATGGATAAGGATTTAGAAGGAGACGAAACAATATGGTTCTTGAGAGAAATTACATGTTTAAGATTTTTCTCTTTGAGAACTGCAGTGTCAAGATCGGGATCTCGAACCCATTTAACCCTCGCATTCACAAAAGTCCTAATATGGTTGAACTGGTGAAAGAGTTTGGAGGAACGAGCCATTAACAACCAGCTCACTACCCTGTAAAGTGGAAACACTCTGTCATAGGGTAGAAATTTTTTTCTAGACTAAAACTATATAACTTCTGTATACAGATATTATAAAACTACTGGGATCATTATCTACTTGGTCTTAGCATTAGAGTTGAACCAATATGTGAATTTAAAATATTCAAAACTATTAAATCACATTGTTGCAAATTAACGATAAATCATATAATAATACTTTAAAACCCTAAAAGAAAAATCAAAACACAGTTGTATGGTACGCTATCGGAGAGGGGAAAGGGAAATCTGAAAAACGGAAATTGGAAAATCTGGACTCACTGTTTCTGGCGGCCGACGACGGGATCCGCCTACGATTTCCTGCCGGGTTTAACCGAAGTTGGCGAGTTGAGATCAGTGTCGAGTTTCGTTCTTGCAAGTTGTGATAATGAGGCTTTTTTCTTTAAACAAAGGAGGGCTCAAAAGCAAAGGAAAAACTAAACACGAAACACACTGGGGAAGGATTCCTCAGCTAAGTCGGAGTTAAAGATTGTGAGGATCTCCAAAGGGCAACTCTGTTGTACATTACAGTGCTAGAGGATCATGTTGAAGAAAGCATAATTTTTATTAGATTTAATTCTCAAACTTCAGTTTTCGATTTTGCTTAATAAATCAATTTTCAGTTTGAATTTTGATAATTTGTTCATGGAAATATTTAACGCAGCATATGGACTAATACTAGGCTAGGTTGTGTATATATTTTATTTTCGGAAATCACATTTGGTAAGGCTAGGTTGTGTATATATTTTATTTTCGGAAATCACATTTGGTAAGTTTTACGGAGATATATTTTTGGCGTGAATATTATAGATTTTTTTTGATATTTTTGACGATATTTTAAAGTTGCAAGTTTATTTTTCGGTTGTACCATATTCAATGTCATGTCTGAAATACATTATTTTTCTTCTGACATGAGACGACATGTAATTTGATGACCGACTAACTTTTCACACATGTCGTGGTTATATATATTATATATAACATTAAATCTTTATTTATTATTTGCCAACAGATAATCACACAATTTAAAAGGATACTCACAGTTTTTTTGAACCGGTGTCATTTCGTTTGAAATTTCATAGAGGAGTTTTATACTTCTCACTTCTTTCGTGAGTTATTGTCACAAATGCACCTCTTATATCCAAACCATTATTTGTCCTTCCGATTACAATATCAAACCCCAATTTGGATGTTTCCGTACGAATTCATTGAAGCATGTGATCATGAAATTGAAACTCTTGTCTATTTGTAAATTGGTTGCCAACATCTACCTTCTTCACAACAACATATTTTGCATCCGGAGACACAATAGGTTTGGGAAAAATATTTGGGTGCACCATATCCAACAAAAACAATACCATAAAATGTTCAAAAACATATGAAATTGAAAACAGATTGGTGCCAAATAAAAATAGATAGACTTCGAAAATGCATTTTTGGAGGAATTCATACAGAATGCGAAAATATATTTGTGTGTGTGTGTGTACGCGCGCGCGCGCACACACACACACAAGTTTTTTTGTGAAACCAGTGAATGTCCTTCTTCAATGATAAACATATAGATGTTCTTTTGGACTTGGGCTAGAAAGCCAATAAATAGTTTTCACGATTACATGATTAGGCACATGCAAGTAGTGGAAGATTTATTCTTTCTTTGATTTATGTTACTTGGACGCCTCGTAGTCCACGTAATATAAGTGAATGGATTACACATCAAATCTAGAGTTTAGGCCCAACTTCAGACCACGGGGAGACTAGGCCCGATCGGGAGATCAAGCCCAATTGAGTGGTCGAGTACAATATTGTGGTTCTTTGCCTGTTTCCTCACCATGACCTGCCCCTTATGGCCCGATTAGATTATACCGGTACGCAATCCATCAATCACGAGGCTTTGAAAAGGGGGAAGTGATTTAATCCAGACAAAAGGTACTTAATCTCTTTTTGCATCATCTCAAAAAATTCTTTACACAAGGATTCGTTAGTAGCACTGAAAATGATGTCATTCAAGAGATCATACCAATCTCTGGAAGCGTGTTTCATCCCGCACATAGTCTTTTTCAATTTGAAGGCATGATCAAGAAAGGAAGAGCTTACAAAGTCTGGAGGTTGATCAACAAACACTTCCTCTTATATGTAACCGTTCAAGAATGCACTCTTTACATCCATTTGGAAGAGTTTAAAATCTATGATGCAAGAAAAATATAGAAACATCTTTATGGATTCTAATCGAGCTACATGAGCATAAGTCTCATCAAAATCTATACATTCTTATTGATTGTATTCTTTTGCTACGAGTCTTGCTTTATTTCTATAAAAAAAAACATCCTCATCAAGCTTGTTGCGATAGACTCAATGGGTCTCAAATACTTGATTAGCTAAAGCTTCAGGAACAAGTTCCAAACGTTGTTTCTTTCAAATTAATTTAACTCTTCTTACATAGGAAGAGATCAATGTTCGTCGATGAGGGTCTCATCAAGTTCCTTTTCCCTCAATTTGGAAAATAAAATTCATATAATTACATATATTACTAAGGGAGTGTCTAGTTGTAACTCCCTTAGAAATATCTCCAATGACATTCTGAATTGGATGGTCTTTAGTAGGGGTGGCAAAATGGGCTGGGTCTACCGGGTCGGTCCATTTGACCCACCATTTTTTGTGGGTTGGGCTGAGGTTTTCAGCTCGGTACTTTAAGTTGGTCCGCCTGTAACGCCCCGATTCTGAATTTCCCATTTTTGTTGAGTCTTTTAATTTATTTTGATTGAATTATTCTTTTAATTGTGGAATTTGAACATTAATACGTTATGTGTGCTTATTATGTTATTTTATTACTCGGAGAGTTTTGGGAATTAATTAGAGGGTGTTTTAGATAATCCTTAATTAGTAGACATTTGAGAGAAATAGAATAGAAAGTGTATAAGTGGAAATAAAGAGAAAAGAAAAGAGATAAAAAGAAATAGAAAGGAAAGAAGAAAAGAGAAGAGAAAAGAGGAGGAAGAGGATAAAACCTAAAATCATCAAGAATCAAACTTCTAAGCTTCGATTAATCGAGGTAAGGGTGTGAAACTTTATTATTCTTTCGATGTGTATGATTATGTATGTTTCTATTGGTTTGCTTTTGGATTGGGGAGAGTTTTGCTCATTTTCCGTTTTAGGTCGAATTTGAGTTAATCAGTAGAACCGGGTTTTTACGGTTAGAAATGAGAATGAGTGGTAGGATTTAGTCGGGGAATGTTGGGCTAAGGCTACTGAGACGAGTTGGGATTGAATCGGGTAGATTTCGATGAGTTTCGGAGTTTTGGACAGTGGGGATTCTGAGTTCGCAGTCCCTCGCTAGTATGTTCGCTAGGCGAGCGGGTTGCGAGTATTCGCTGGGTATTCGCTGTGGCGAGCCAGTAGCGAACGGTCCCAGACTTGGGCAGAATGGTTTTGGGTGTTATTTGCTGGTAGCGAAGGGGGTAGCGAGCATTCGTTGGGCATTCGCTATGGCGAGTGGGGTAGCGAATCAAGTCAGAGGCTTTTGTTTGCCTTCGCGAGCTTGTTCGCTAGGCGAACAGGTAGCGAGCACTCGCTAGGAGTTCTCTAGGCGAACAGGGTAGTGAGCATTGCAGGATGTTATTTTCTTGTGTTTTCACTTCCATGTCTATTCTTCGATTCAAGTATGATTAATCCTTCTTATTATGCATAGTTGTGTGTGTGTGATATGGAATGCTGTGGGTAGCCGTATGGCGTGAATCCTAGATTGTGAATCGTGAAGTGTGAAATGTGACCGTTTGGCAAATTTGTGCATTTGTTTGAATTAAGTGAAAATGCATGATGAGATTGATGTGTATGTGCATATTTGTATGTACTTGTATGCATTTCAAGAATGTATGGAGTCGTTTTGTTTGTGAAGCATCATGATTGCATTCTTGTGTGTCTGATCCCGCGTAGGATCTGCAGAAACCTCGTGTACCCTTGTGGGGTGTGAGTGATGGTTTGTCTTTGATCCCTAGGAGGATCTGCAGAAACATCGTGTGCCCTTGTGGGGTGTGAGTGATAGTTTATTTTGATTCCGTGGAGAATCTGCAGAACGATTGTGTGCCCTTGTGGGGTGTGAGCAATCCTGAAACATTGTGTCCCCATGTGGGGTGTGAGCGATGGGTGAACATCTTAGGCCCGACGGAGAGTTACTTCAGTAACGAGCGATGGTTCCTTTTGGTTCTTCAATTGAACTTGCTGAATGAGTCGGTACCGCATTTGCATCTGCATAGAGTCGTGAATCGGTCTCTATGAGTGCATTATTATCTTCATATGATATATCGGTGTAATGAACATAATTGTATATGTTTAGTGGTGAATGTTTGTGTGGTGGATATGTTTGGTGAACTATATATGTGTTGCGATATGTATATGATTGAAACGTGATGTATTGCGGTGAGAAATGTGGTATGTGTATTCTCTATGTTAGTGTATATAGATATATATATTTTATATGCATTGTTTGTTATGATAATGTTTCTCACCCTTCTGCTGTTTTATGATGCTCTATGAGGCATTGCAGAGTAGGTTTGCTGGAGGTCTTTTGTGAAGCGTGGCTTCATTCTTTTTGGTCGGTTGGCTCTGATATGTAGCACCGGGTAGTTAGGAATTCTTTTGGTTCTTTTGTGATGCATCTGTGTATGTATCTGCTGGAATGTTTTGTAAACATGATTTATGACTTGAATTAGACTGTTGATGTATACAATGTTTATATGAATGAAGTGATTCAATGTTTAGATGTTTCCGCTTTTATTCTAAATATTGATGTGTGGGTTTTAAGGACTAAGTTCCTTTTTGGTGATTTACCCTTTGTTGCATATCTTTATGAGCAGGTGTTGTATGTGTTTTGAATTTCCTGGATAACGTGACGTACCTCTTTTATACCATGCGTTAATTTATACTCTGATGTAAAATTTTTATTAAGTGCCTAAATGATTTAATTGTTTTAATTGGGGGTATAGAAAGGGGGTGTTACACCGCCCCTTTAACCCACTAGAAAAGTAGATCGGGTCGAGGCGGGCCAGGTTTTGCCCGCGAGCTTTTTATTAAAACTTTTTTTTATTTTCTTACTTAGAATTAGAACAACTTTAACTAAAAACAACACTCTTCTCTTAGGATTATGTTGATTGAATTATATTATGAATTATTATACAAACAAATTGAATTATAATTGTAACGTTCTGTCTATAACTTTCTAATACATGTGTTAATTGGAAAAACTTGAAATAAAAGAGCAATTGTATGGTTTGCTGAATTATTAAGTTGTCAAACATTAGCTCACATGTTTTCTTTAGAAATAAATGTTGATTTTAAGAAAATGAAGGATTTGATTAGTGTATACATGTGACAAATTTAGGATTTAACTATTAAGGAATCAATCAAAATAAAAGTTTATCTGATGAACCATTTATGGACCTACAATCATACTCTCACCTTACCATCTCGATACCAACATAACACCATCTTACATTTTCGTCCATATAGAGCTTCAAATGGAGTCACTTCGATACTAGTATGAAAACGGTTGTTGTAGGTGAATTCGATTAAAGGTCGTATATCATCCAAACTCCCTATATCATTCAGTATACATGCCCTAAGTAAATCCTCTAACGATTGGTTTCATTATGTTTGTCCACCTATTTGTGGATGATATGCCGAACTTAATCTTAGCTTTGTTCCAAGTGCTTCGTGTAACATGCCCTAAAATTGTGATGTGAACTTTGGGTCTCGATCTGACACGATGCTAGATGGTACCCCATGTAGTCTAACAATCTCAAGAATGCAAATTTACGTCAACTTGGCTACCTTAAAGGTTGTTATTACAAGTAAGAAATGAGAAGACTTGGTCAGACAATCGACAATTACCCAAATTGAGTCATGCATCCTCTGAGTTTTAGGTAATCCGATGATAAAATCCATTGAAATGTTATCCCACTTCCACTCAGAAACATCTAAAGTTTACAACATTTATGTTGGGCTTTGGTGTTCTGTCCTTGCTTTTTGGAAAGTCAAACATGATGCTACATAATTTTCCACCTCCTTCTTCATTCCTCACCACTAATAATTTTGTCTCAGATCTTAATATATTTTTGTGGCTCTAGGGTGAATGCTTAGTTTGCTCTTTTGGGCCTCCTTTAAAATTAGTTTTCTTATCCCTAAAACATCGCGTACACAAATTCTCTTGTTGCACCTTAAGATATCATATGGTCCTACTTTAAAACCGGGTGCCTTTCCTTGTAGCATCAATCCCCTTTTCTCTTCCAAGAGTGGATTGTTTTGATAGTTTTGAATGTCTTCCAAAAGTTCATTAGAAATCCTTATCATTCCACACTGTAGAGTTCTGTGTCCCAACTTTACGTCTAGGTATATGTCTCTGAATATTTCCCATAACTCTTGATGTTTGGCCATCAGTGATGTTGTTGCAATGACACACTTCCTACTCAATGCATCTGCCATTACATTTGCTTTTCCTGGGTGATATTGTAATGTGAAATCATAGTCTTTCAAGGTTTCCATCCATCTCCAATGTCTCATGTTTAATTCCTTCTAATCAAACAAATACTACAAACTCTTATGGTCGCTGAATACCGTGAATGTACATCCATAGAGATAATGACGCTAAATATTTAGCACAAAAACTACTGTCGCAAGCTCCAAATCATGGTTGGGTTAATTCCTTTCGCGAGTCTTCAATTATCTTGAAGCATATGCTACTGTCACACCCTAATTTTTTACCATAAGATACCACCTCCTTGTGACTTATTTCTTGCTTGTTTTATTTTACCTTTCGTGTGTATGTTTGTTATGACTAACCATCTGGCACAGGTACAACTAACTTTAAGCAGGTTTTCGATTCAAATATCCTAAGGCTTTCTGGTGATCGTTTTACTAAGGGCGTGTCGGAAGCCTTTGTGTTTTGAGGAGGTTTAGGGCTTTCTTTTCTTCGGTTCGGAGGATGGTCATTTGCATTTCGGTTCTGGTTTTCATGGCAATTTGCATCAGGTTGCATCATTTATTTCCACAGGATTTCTAAGGTTTTAGTTTGATTTTAATCTTGGAGTTTGGATCATGTATTGGTCAAATGGAAGAAATCTGGACAATGTGGTTCGAAACGACGAATTGGGATGAAGACTGGGAATCAAAACTAAGCGAGTAACTTTCTAATTCAGATTCCCCGCCTTTTTAAGGCTCGAATGAACTCGATATTTGTTTTGACTAAAAATCCAAACTCCGGTTTCATATCCTAGTTGCATTTGCATGGAGGTTTCATATCTACATTCAAGTGGGGGTTGTGCCTTGAACTTTTGAGAAGATTTCTATTTCAAGTTTTAATACGAGACTTATGGTTCATGAGGTTCAAGTCTTTAAGAGATCATCCAAATTTTGGAAGAAACATGATTCAAGTTTTGGTTAGATTATCATCTAAGTATACGTCATTACTAAACTTAAGAAATTCAAGTTCATGGCTAAATTTGTGTGTCGTTCAAGTTATCGTTGTTTGAGGCAGAATAATTATGTTTAGAAGGAGTTGAATTCAAAATGCAACGGACCAAAATTTGGAGAGTGCATAACGTACAAATTCAAAGTTGTTCAAATTTGATTTACAAAGATAAAGTTCATAAAAGGCGAGACATTACAATTTGAAATCCAAGAGTATTCAAATATGGTTTATAAGCCAATTTCATAAATAAATACAAAGTAATGCTTCCATTCTAAAGAGCTCCTAATGCTAAGTCTTGGACCTATTTGTTCTGAGCTTCTTCAAGTGATGAAACCGTCAACGGAAGTCCTGCCACCTGTAAAATGCCATTAAAGAAAAGAAATGAGGATTAGAAACCAAATTTCAAGATAAGATAAGTTTTCAACCCTCAGTTCATAGAATCATCATTGGGCTGGGAAAGGCAACAGAACATTCACTACCAAACTTCCACCTTCCAAACAACCAGGCAGAAGTCTGTTCTTAAGACAATACAAGTAATTTTCGTAAAAAGAGACAAGCAAGGAAACACAGTCGGTTCTTTTCCAGCAGATCCAACAATTCCAAACTTTTCTAAACCAGCAAAGGCCAAAACTGTAAAATGAATCATCTCATCAAGTCACCAGATCCGAAAATGGCAATTTGACAAAACGGCCCCAGATCAAGAAAAGCGTATCAGAATCAACAGTAAAGATAACGAAAATGGGAACACAGCTCACCAAATTCGGAAATAAAATTCGTCATCAATACCAATTTGAAACAATAACAACACATCAAGAACGAAAAGAGAAAGTCTTTAAGTTTTTTGAAAACTTTCCAAATCAATTTCGGACAGAATCAACGGAAGAGGAAAGTTTCTTTTAAAACTTTATTCCAAACTTAATGTGATCAATGAGGTTTGAAATGAATGATATTTAACTGAAATTTCAGCTTCTTTTACTCCTTTTGATGTGATTAAACACACAAATGAAAATTTGGAGTGAAAATGTTGATTAAGAATGAAAGAGTTTATCGAAAGGCTTTTTAGTGAAAAAGAAGTATGGATATGTAATCATGCAGGTGATTGTTTTATCAAAATCGCGTTTTATTATTCTAGAGATGCATCTCTGTAAATACCTGACATGTAAAGGTGACAAATATTTCAAAATTCCGCCCAAACCTCTGAAAATGCATTTCCAAAATATTTATTGAACAACTCAAATATCAATACATTTATTGAAAATACTTGGAGATGCATCTCCGAAGTAAAATTTTATTTTACTCTAAAGGGACACACAATTGATGCGTCATAAAGTGATGCAAGAGTTCATCCGAAAATATATCTCCAAAATCTAAAAAATATTTTAAATTTTTTATAAAGTGTTTTCCACCTCATAAAGTGAAATAAGAAATTCACAAATACTATCCATGATAATTGAAAGTTGTATTAAGTTTTTATTCTCCCAATTGGTCCACTCTAAATGAATAAATTTCTTTAGTTTGTTTTAAAAAGTATATATAAAGGATGAAATTAGAAAATATTTAGTCTTTTACATTGCATGCCATGTCCCTTTTTCTCGTTTGATTTTCTAAATCCTAATTTTATTATTAGAAACTAGAAAGTACATGTAGTTTTAAACAAAACAAAAACAATAGTAATTGTGAGCCATCATAATATGGCCATAAGAAGAGAAAGATAATACTAATATGAACATATGCCATGCAAATAACCAGAAGCAACGTCCATAACTGAAAATGAGGTCCAATTTACGACAATGCCACCGTATTCTCAGCTCCTTTTTCAATCAATCTTGAAAATAACCACTTCTTAACTAACTTCCACACCTTCTTCTCTCTTTCCCATCCTCTCTTTCTCTTTCTTCTCTCTCACTCCACACACAATAACAATGGCGGAGGAGAACCTCGACGGCAAACCAATTACACCGGTGACAATTTGCATGATCGGCGGCGGAGGATTCATCGGATCACACCTCTGCGAAAAGCTAATGTCCGAAACTTCTCACATAGCTATAGTAGTTGATGTCTCCTCTGAGAAAATCAATCACCTCCTTGATAAGTCTCTTCCTTGGGCCAATCGGATCGAGTTTCATCACATGAACATCAAGAACGATTCGCGCCTTGAAACTCTCGTCAAAGCTTCCGATCTCGTAATCTTTCTTCTTGTTTTTCAATTTTCTGGTTCTATTTTTTATTTTCAATATTTTTTTAGTGATGTTGCTTTTATTATAGACTATCAATCTTGCTGCGATTTGCACGCCGGCGGATTATAACACCCGGCCTTTGGACACTATTTTCAGTAATTTCATTGATGCGATTCCAGTGGTGGGTTTTTTTATCGATGCCTTTTGAATACTCTTTGATTTCATTATGTTTTGAGGAGTATTATCATTGTTGGTGAGTGATAATGCAGATTAAATTTTGCACCGAAAACAACAAGCGTTTGATTCATTTTTCTACTTGTGAGGTCTTTGGGAAGACTATAGGTAGCTTTCTGCCTGAGGAATATAGGAAGGTATGAACAAATAAAATTAGGGCTTAGCTGGATGCTTATTTTTCAAAGTTAATCATTTGGTTGTATCTGAATTAGTTTATGCTTTTATTTCAATTAATGTGCATAGTCACTGCCAAGGTTTTAAAACATGGTTCGTTACCGCGAAAACGGTATCGAAATGTGCCGATAATGTTATTTATTGTTTTTATGATGAAAAAGAAATTGTGGTTAATTCACACCGCAACGACTGCAATCAGTATCACAACAATTATACCAACCGAAACCGCGAAAGCCTTTACGCGACCGCAACGCGATCTCGGCCTTTATTTAAAACCTTGGTCACTACTATTAACTAAGAATTATTTAGATTTTCATTTTGAGTTAGTTTATATGTGTTGGTTTTAGGTACTTATCAAAGTTAGGGAGTGCATTCATATTATGTAGGAATCATAAATCATATCATATATATTGAACAAAATCAATCAAATGCCATTTTCTTATATTTGTTTCTATAGTTCACAGAAATTTGCATGATGCAGGACCCCAAATATTACATGCTCAAAGAAGATGTTAGTCCTTGTATTTTTGGTCCAGTTCATAAACAAAGATGGTCTTATGCATGTGCAAAGCAAATGACAGACAGGCTAATTTATGGTAAGCAAAAACACTTGTGTTTTTCTGTTAATTTTGATATACGAAGCACTGATCTTGATACCAGACACAATACTAACACTAACACGTTGCTGACAGTATTAATTGATAGTGTGGCTATGCTACATAGTAATTGATAGTGTTATTATAAGATTTTCTTCTTCTACTTCTTAACTTACTCTTGAATATTAATCTAAAGCTGAGCATGCTGAGAATGGCCTGAAGTTCACTATTGTGAGACCTTATAACTGGATTGGACCAAGAATGGACTTCATTCCTGGTGTGGATGGCCCGAGCGATGGTGTCCCCAGAGTTTTGGCTTGTTTCAGTAATGTAACATCAGCTAGCTACTTCTGTTTCTTGTTCATTTCTTCATTTTCTTAAAATATACACACCACTGTTTCTCTGAAAGTTTCTTGTTCCAGAATCTCCTTCGTGGCGAGCCGCTCAAGCTTGTTGACGGCGGATGTTCCCAGAGAACCTTTCTCTATGTCAAAGATGCAATTGAGGCTGTTTTGTTAATGATTGTAAGTTGAGAAGTGAACCTCCATTTTTTACATTGAACTTGGACTAATGTATATGCAATCATGCCACGTGCAGGATAACCCTAATAGAGCAAATGGACACATCTTTAATGTTGGAAACCCAGATAATGAAGTATCTGTGAAGCAACTAGCTGAGCTTATGATAAAGGTAGCTTATAAACTATTCTTTAGATAAGTTCATGACTTTGTTTTTTCAGGAAAGAAAAACAAACAGATTTGGCTCATTTTGTTTCTTCATTTAGGTATATGCAAAGGTGGCTGGTGTACCTGACTCTAGTCTATCAACTCTGGATGTGACTTCAGAGGATTTCTATGGAAAAGGCTATGATGACAGTGATAAGCGCATCCCTGACATGACAATTATCACTAAGCAGCTTGGTATTCTGTCATTAATTCTTTTGATTCTGTGCTAATGTATATTTGTAATCACATTGAGTTTGAAGAAATCATGGTAGCACCTATATTTTGTTGAAGTTTTACAGTGTAGTTTTTATCGTGAATCCAAACATGCATGTATTAGTCTGCAGAATTTGACATTCTTCTTGTTTATTCTTACGAGGTTAGGTTGGAAGCCAAGGACATCACTTGATGAACTGTTGGATTCTACCCTTCAATATCAACATCAGACATATTCTCATGCTATCAAGAAAGAACTCTCGAAGCCTTCAACTTGACTAACTTCAAAATTGAATTGGAGATTTAGTTTAGTTCTACTTTTTATGTAAACATGTCACTGCCATGATGAGGCAAATTGGCAAATGTATATGATATGATACACTCATTGAGGTCTAAATCACAAGTCTACTGTGTATCTATAGTCATATATCTTCTGTTAATTCTTCCTGTAACTTTAACTTTTTGAATGAAAATCCTTCCCTTTTTGTCTTTTGGAGTTATAGCATTGTCTTCTTTTACAATGGAAATATAAAACGTTTCATTATTCTAACATGCAGACATGGCAAAACAGAAGTTTAGTTTGCAGGGTTTCTAAGTAGTGTTTGATAAAAACTTCAAACAAACTCAATATGGATGCAACTCAAAAGCTTGTTATGCTTCATAATGTAAATCCAATTTAAAACAAAATATTCAAGAAAGAGAAGTACTAAGTTACAAGCAAAGAAACTGATTAGAAGTGATGTTTATTTTCTAGTTATGACAGAAGTAATGCAGCAGAATCTATGCAACACCAACTATGTAAGCATTCCAAGAATCTTGTTGCTGAAAACTTGTTGTCTCTTCATATTTTATATCCTTTCCCGCTCCAAATCCTTCAGTTCTTGTAATTTCCGTGGTGTCCGGCATTTCTCGAACCCAAAAGTGAACAGATCGAAATCCAGCTTCTTCTAAGCAATCCCTTATCTCAGGCAATGTCCATCTAATAACATATTATAATGTTAGAAAGTTGAAAAAATACAAAATATAAACAAGAATACCATAAAGGTTTGAACTATGGGAAAATTCTTTTATGAATTGAAGGGAAACAAACAAAAGAAGCAACTTACAGCCGCCAGCTGTATGAAAACGCATGGCGAAGCTTTCTTTGTTCCTTTTTCAGATGAAAATGGAGGCTAATCCTTGTTTTCCGTTGAATAATATCAAATTCAGCTTGCTCCCATACATACTGCAGATTTTGATCATAAGTTCACATCATTAAACAATCACCCAGGAGAATATTCACATGAATCCCATATAAGATAATAGAGTAACTGTGCTTTATACATCAATCATTTTTTCTACTTCAAGTGCAGGAACTAAACATCAAGAATCTTATACCGTAAAATTAGGAAATCTTCTTTGAAGCTTCAACTTGTTTTCTGAAGATGTACCTCCATATAAATCCATTACGAAAATTCCACCTTTTGTTGACAAGGCATCACGAACATGCTTGAAATACAAAACTAGATCAGCGCGTTTATGGAGACAACAACAGCTGTAGTTAAATGCACACACAATATCTCTTCCATTCATTGGAAAGTTTTTCGTAGTTAACTTGTCATCTTGAGCAGAAGAGCTTGTTGGGACATCTGGCTCAAGCACATCGACCTGCAGATTCTCTGTATTCTGTGACAGTGAAATATTCCTTACCAGCTCCTCAGGGTCCATTTCCACAAGTTTTGACTGAATAGGTTGTAGAACATTCCCATGAAAGAGGGATATTCTAGAAAACCCACCGGCCCCAATTTTAGGTATATTGTTTTCCAGGCACCAAGTAAGTGCCTCAAGATCCAAATCTAATCCTATAGCTGTCTTTCTTGGATCGCTGCGGAGCCATTCTGTACTGGCAAACATAAGTCATTGCAACATAAGTAGATCAGGGTCAACATAAAATATCAAGATGTCAAGACATAACCAAAACAAAAAAATAATTAAGTATCTTTTTATATTGACTTATTTGAACTTATCTAATCAGAACCACACTTGTGATGACAACAACAAGTTAGCAACGAGAATATAATGAGAGAATGTACCTAAGAAACGCAGTGCCACAGAAATCCTCTTGAAGATGAAGGGGCACCCTTCCACCAACATACATGAGAAAGAACTTTTGCAAATAACTAATGTCTCCCTTGGGAGACTGCAATAACAAAAAAGCATATTCACAAAAGCCACATTATGAATTTCTCAATTAGGTCAAATAAATCATAACAGCCCCTTAAGAGCTTGTTTGAATTAACTTATTTGAACTCACCTATTAGCATTGTTTCCTTAAGCTCTACATGATATAGATTATGAAACAATTCATAGCTTATATTTAAACAAATTGATTTTATTTTATCTTTGTTTATATAGAAATTGACTTTATTTTATCTTTCTTATGCTATCAAATTAAAGTGATTGTTGATAAACTAACAAAAACAAACAAACAAAGAAGTAAAGAAACAAAATCTAAAAAACGGAAACCTGGACAGATTGTTGGTAAAGGAGGAATTTTGAAGGCATATCGTGTGATGGGAGTTGTTCATTGTTGTTGTTGTTGTCAGAATCAGCGTCTTCTATTCCTTCTTCTTCTTCGTTGTCAGCGGGTGAAAGTGTTGAAGAAGAAGAGTAGGGTTGTGGAGTGTCATTGTCTTGAAGATAGTAATCTCTTCCTCGCTGAGTTCTGTCGTGTTTCTGCTTCTGCTTCTCTCGCTTTCCCATTCCGCCGCTATAAACCAAAACCCCTACTACTACCGTCTACACACCCATAGCGTTAATACCATGCGGCGGTGTCATATTTTACGGATTTAATTGAAAGCATTTTACACGGGAAGTGTTATTAGATGTTCGAAAGAGTTTAAATTTTATTGTAATTATTATAAAATAAGATAAATGGATGATAATGAATCGCCTGTGAAAATCTTTTAAAAATTATTTATACTAATAATGTAGAGTAGTAATTAATCTATTTCACTAATTTTTATTTCAAATAATAAACTCTCATTAATTTTAAAATAAGATTTTGTTTGGATATCTTAAAAATACTTAGTGAATAAAAAACTAAAAAAATAACCAACAGGATTATAGAAATGAATTAGAATGAAAACATTATAGATTTTGTTTAGGTAAAATATGATTTTATTTATTTATTTATTTATCTTTATCTTGATATTCATTTTGATTTTTTAATTTTTAAAAACACTGATTTGATCTTTTGTCTTTTCAAACAGCGTGGTTAGTACTTTTTATTATATCAGTTAGTTAAAGTCAAATTTATAGTCCATTTAGCATATATGTGGCGTCGATGTAACATATACTCATTAAAAAGGTTTCAGAAGCCAAACATCAAACAGCTGGCATACACTTAGTAAAGTTTAATCTTCTCAACATTTTCATCCTTCTCAGATTCTAATTTTTTCGAGAACAATGTTCATCAAGAATTTTTTAAAAGAAAACATACGGATCTTGGCAAATCATCTACAAGGTTCATCAAGAACAATGTTCTAAGAATTTCTCTAACCCTTATGTAATTAAATTTATGGTGTACTTTCGTTTAAATCATTCTGCAATTGGCTTCAGTATCTCTACCCCATGACCATTACTAGTATCATCTTTAGCTTTAACACTACAAATTTGGTTCATGTTCAGACCGGGGTTTACCTCAAGAAGTTTTCTGTTGTGGCATCAAAGTTGCCTTAAAGGCAATATCTGATTCAGCATGAAAAGGCTTCATTTTGACCACTTGATTGGCACAAATTTGAAGCAGAGTACCTATTATGACTAGCCTCTGAGGATTCATCACTCTGAGTTTCCCTGGTTTTCTTTTCGGTGTAATGCCCTACATTCTCAGAAATTATAACTTTTTAGTCGAGTTTTCGGCCACTTCCTTTTCAAGTTGAGAAACTTGATTGTCTTTCTTGGAATCAATGTGTCAACCTCCTATTTGAATAGCTCTGCTCCAACAATTCTCATATTCGATAAAGGCACCTGATTCATATATAAGTAGAACGAGAAGATTTTATCTCAAACTCAATTAGCATAAATGTTAGAATGAGTCACATAATAATATATCTATTAGTTGTATAGAAACATCAATTAGCTACTAATTAAGGAGATATTTCTCAATCATGTCCAAAACATTCATATCACTTGATGTAAATACATTATAAATATATACATCATGTAAATAAAGCTCCGCATCTTATATTAGTTATAGCAATAAACACATAATATAACACTTCTACCATGATAATGTAAGCATAATTTATTAGAAGTATTATTGCATCTATCCTAGATCAAGCAATTGGTTGAAGTTTTAGTCGGTAGAAAACATTGACTTAAAAATTGAAAAGGCTAATAACATGCTCTTCACTATATAATTTTACTCCAAAAGCATAAGGTTTCTAATTACAACTCTGTGGACTGCAATTAAAAGATCTTAGAGTTGAATCCGGATAGAATGCATTTGGTTGCATTGATGGAAAACGTATGGTTTATTAATATATATTTGATTCGTAAAACAACTAAATAAACATAATGTAACCTAATGTTACACAACTTTTCAAAGTAACCACAGTGAGCATGGTTTGATTCTTGCTGGAGGCAAAATTTGGAGCTTTTTTTTAAGAATTTTGGTGATCTTGGTGATGAACATGACTGTTAGTTGCCAATTAGCCAGAAAGAACTTATGTGGCGTTGTTCGAACAATTAAAGGATATAATTAGCCTCTTTTAAAATTAAGGAACCAAAATGGACCCAGAGGTAATGTTAAAGGACCAAAAAAGATATTTTGCCTATTTTTTACAGAAAGGAATATGATGAGTTATTTCCCTTCTTAAAGATAAATAAGGGGAACGTCGGAAGTTCAAACTCATGATATTGCATTTGGTGAATTTACATAAATATCAATTAAGTTGCCTTAACAAGATGATATCCATATATTTAAGTCTCCATATTTGAATGTTCTCTCTGCATTAGTTTTGGGTCGAAAAGGCCAGCATGGTCCACTAGCTTATTTATCTCGCCCTTATTAAGATGGGGGAGTTATAATTTGGGTCATACTTCTTTTGGCTTTGTCCTACAGCCCAAAGTAGTGGACCCAATACTTGAGGAGTTCGAAATGGGGAACAAATAAGGTATATCCGGCTAGACCATCATGGTTCTCTTAACTTATAACCTAATCTCTTTTTAAGAAGAGGCCCCAAGTATTGATTAAATATGTCTTGAATGTGACTATGTGCAATCTTACCAATTTGGACTTATATAACACTAGAACTAGACTGATGTGATACTAGATTCGTATATGGCAGGAGAAAAGGTGTGCATGTGGCAGTCTTGTAGGGTTGATGATGACTATTTATATTTTTTATACTCTAATTATTGAGGATTTTGAGGTTGGTATTCCTTTTACCCTTCTTCAATATGATATTTTAAAGATCGTTAATGTCTCCCCTTCCCAAGCCCACCCGAACAACTAGGCATTTATTTAAGGATTCGAGATTCACTAATAGGGCATTAATAATACGCCTACAACCGGCATGTTCATCTCATTCTATAAGACGAAAGGAGCGAATTGAGGTGAATGGGTTTTTTGTGAGCATCATCCATAGAGGAAGGAGATAACGGTGAAAGCTAAAGCCCACACGAGCAAAGTAGAGCCCATCCATCAAAGTAATCATTTAGGCTTCCAAACTTGGATGACTAATAAAAGAAAGAATGCCACAAAGGAGAAATTTGTTAAGGTTGTTCCTTTGACTACTTTTTGGCCACCTTCTACCCCTAGGTTATTCTAACATTAATCATCATCCTTGCTTCGGTTGGGGTGATGAAGATATTAACACGGTCCTCTCTGTAGGATTTATCGCGGGCTCAAAAAGAAACTGCCCCGGTGCCCGATCCTGAAGTTGAGATTCTTGGAGGTACATAAAGGGTATCGTGTACTCCAGGCATTCCAGCCCTTATCTTCATGGCAGGATTGGGACCTCGTACTCCAAGGGAGCGCCGGACATTTTCTTTGTAAGAGGATTATTCTTACCTCGCAAGTCTGACTACGAAGCTCTCGAGGAGGAATTGTCGACCCTTACGTTATACACCCAACGAGCCTTCGTTGTTCTAGCCATTCGTTGAACCAATTGCAGGGATGTTCATTTAAATGATTGACATTATAAGGAGGGAAAAATGTTTGAGGACAGTGTCCTTGATCTGACGTTTCAATGTGATATTTACCTGTAAGAAACACATAAGGCTTATATTTATCTTACTAATATAGGTAACACCCTGAGTGATTTCGACCCCCCTTAGGTCTTTAGTTAATTAGGTAAAGTTATTGGTGAGATAAGTAGCAAAGAAAGATAAACTTGTGGCTTCTTATCAAGCTTTTCTATCTAATATAAATTAATTTCTTTCAACCACTCAATGCGATATACAAAATTTGTACCTTGAGAATATATCTTTGGCTCAAAAATTGGAAGTAGTGATTAACGTCGACCTTGCGTCTATCTCTACCTCTTTTGAGAAATATTTATCATAAGTGGGAATTTTCACTCTCCTTTGCGCATTTCGAGAGAGAAACTACACCCGAATCAGATAATTCGATATAGAAAATTTGTCTCGAAAAGAGATTAGTCATGCTCTTCTCCTTTTTTGTGTTCCTATTATACTTGTAAATGTAACAACTTGCATTGGATAACATGTGTATATGAATTTGATATTTGAATGTATATGTCACCAGATTAAGGTATATGTGCTAGATCTCGAGTGTACTGCTTCAAGCTTATCTTTACCTTATGAGGTTTTTGATCATATTTTATTGGACGTCTCTTGCACCGTACTAGTGTGTTCCACGCAGCCTTCGTCGTTGTTAAATAAATGATTTTCTCAAACACATTTGCACCCACACACTGATGGATGTAGAACAATGCCTTTTGATCCTTCTTCTTCATATCACGTTGATCATTCCTTTACGCATCTATTGCACTCAATAGAAGTGCAGTCGCAATGTAATCGTCGTTGACGAGATCAAGAATATCTTGAGCACCAAACAACATACACACATATGAATCATCCACTGATTCCAGTTCTTGTCATCGAACACTAGAAGTTTAGTACTCAGATTACCATTTTCATTCATCTTCAACCTTATGCAATCACTCAGATCTCACCAAATACTAGTGTTTCCCAATCCCGCAGAATCAAGAAATATGATTCTGTTATGATTCTGATCAAAAAATCAACACGAATTCAAGAAACGAAATCAACCATACAATGTTTCACCGTTCACTCGGGTTTCCCTGTGTTTTCCTGTGGATCTGAACTGGAGCTCTAAATACCAATTGTTGGTGCACAAGATAAAGAAGTTGAAGACAGAAGAAGAGAAAGAAGAGATATAAGAACAAACTTCTATCACTCTTGCAAAGACAGTTATAAAATGGTTACTCCACTACATTGGTTATATGCACTACTTACTACTCAGTGTGTGTATAATTATTGACAGCTACACTAGTATATATACACAAACAAAAGTGCCACGTAGGTAACATGCTAACCTACACTAGCTAGGTTAAGCTTAACAAACACAAATACTAATACTATTACTGAATATGAATTACTTCTAACAAAAAACATAAAAACCCTCGCTAAGAGAGAAAACAATATTGCTCACCACATCCAACAATAAATGTCTTAAAATAAATGTCATATTTGACATTATCACACAAATTTAA